AATCACTGAAGCGATTACAAATTCAATGTAATATGCATTGTGGTGTCACTTGCAAAGGTGACTTCATTATGCCACTGCATGAGATGCGCTCTAATGCATGTGGGCGGAGGTGTTGTTTACAATGGTTGCAATCACTGATATTTAACGAACGATAAGATCTAAAATTTCATTTACTTGTTTGTTGTTCGGAAATGTGATCATGACAGTGATCATTTATCCATGCTGAACGTCAACAGAAAAAAATTCCTTAATGCAAATGTCAACGTTTCAAGAGCACCGAGTGGAAAACCAGAATATATGATAGCCTACACCATTTTGGTTACAGTAGATGTTTCTTAGATTCTTATTTTAAACTAGCATAAAATTTTCATCTATAATGTGTTTGATGGTGTGTGTATAATGTCCTGTCGATCGGACATCTTTGCTTTTGGTGCACCATTTACATAAAATCGGACGAAACTATATATGGTAGCTATATGTAAATCTTGACCGATTCCAACAAAACTTGACACACGTTAGACCACATTGACTTCAGTAAGTTGTGTAAAATTTTTCGACAATCGTCCTAACTTTGGATCTTTTTTTGCACCATTTACTTAAAATCGAACGAAACTATATATGGTTGACCGATTTGATTTAGGCTATACTATTTGGGTCTTCGGTGCACCATTTTATTAAAATCAGGCGAAACTATATATGGGAGCAATATGTAAATCTGAACCGATTTCAATAGCGTTCGTCCTTGGGCCAAATAAATGATATGTGCTAAATTTCATCCAATTCGGATAAAAAATGCGACAGATGGCGGTACGAACATACATAAATCGACTCAGAAAGTGATTCTATGCATATTCTCGAAAGGAAACATGTGTCCATCACAAGACATAATACCCTGTACCAAAGTGTGGTGAAAGCTATAACAATGTTTAGCGTAAAACACGTTTAAAGTTTAATAAACACTTCATTCGGATCATAGTTACGACCTGTATATTGTTATACCCTTCACCACACTGTGGTACAGGGTATTATGTCTTTGTGCATATGTTTGTAACAGGCAAAAGGAAACGAGATAGACACATGGTTCCTTTTGAGAACATGCATAGAATCACTTTCTAAGTCGATTTATGCATGTCCGTCCGTCCGTCCGTCCGTCTGTCCGTCTGTCCGTCTGTCCGTCTGTCTGTCCATGTTAAATTGTAAACAAAGTACAGGTCGCATTTATGATCCGAATTGGATGAAATTTGGCATAGGTCACTTATTCGGCCCAAGGACGAACCCTATTGAAATTGGGAAAAATCGGTTCAGATTTAGATATAGCTCCCATATATATATTTAACCGATTTAATGTAAACGGTCCCTATATATCTTCCGATTTGCACGAAATTTGGTACAGCCTAATCATTTAGGTCTAGAATGATGTCTGCCAAGTTTCGTGAAAATCGGTCCAGATTTAGATATAGCTCCCATATATAGTTTCGTCCGATTTCATGTAAATGGTGCCCCAAAGTCCCTAGATATCCTTCGATTTGCACGAAATTTGGCATAACGTACTGAATTGAGCCTAGAATAATGTCTGCCAAGTTTCGTAAAAATCGGTCCAGATTTAGATATAGCTCCCATATATAGTTTCGTCCGATTTCATGTAAATGGTGCCCCAAAGTCCCTAGATATCCTTCGATTTGCACGAAATTTGGTACAGCGTAATCATTTAGGTCTAGAATGATGTCTGCCAAGTTTCGTGAAAATCGGTCCAGATTTAGATATAGCTCCCATATATAGTTTCGTCCAATTTCATGTAAATGGTTCCCCAAGGTCCCTAGATATCCTTCGATTTGCATGAAATTTGGCATAACGTACTTAATTGAGCCTAGAATGATGTCTGCCAAGTTTCATGAAGATCGGTCCTGATTTAGATATAGCTCCCATATATAGATTCGTCCGATTTCATGTAAATGGTGCCCCAAAGTCCCTATATATCTTTCGATTTGCACGAAATTCGGCGTAACGTACTGAATTGAGCCTAGAATGATACCCGCCAAGTTTCATGAAAATCGGTCCTGAGTTAGATATAGCTCCCATATATAGTTTCGTCTGATTTCATGTAAATGGTGCCCCAAAGTCCCTACGTATCCTTCGATTTGCACGAAATAGGGTGCAGCCTAATCATTTAGGTCTAGAATGATGTCTGCCAAGTTTCGTGAAAAACGGTCCAGATTTAGATATAGCTCCCATATATAGTTTCGTCCGATTTCATGTAAATGGTGCCCCAAAGTCGCTATATATCTTTCGATTTGCACGAAATTTGGCATAACGTACTGAATTGGGCCTAGAATAATGTCTGCCAAGTTTCGTAAAAATCGGTCCAGATTTAGATATAGCTCCCATATATAGTTTCGTCCGATTTCATGTAAATGGTGCCCCAAAGTCCCTAGATATCCTTCGATTTGCACGAAATTTGGTACAGCGTATTCATTTAGGTCTAGAATGATGTCTGCCAAGTTTCGTGAAAATCGGTCCAGATTTAGATATAGCTCCCATATATAGTTTCGTCCAATTTCATGTAAATGGTTCCCCAAGGTCCCTAGATATCCTTCGATTTGCAGGAAATTTGGCGTAACGTACCTAATTGAGCCTAGAATGATGTCTGACAAGTTTCATGAAAATCGGTCCTGATTTAGGTATAGCTCCCATGTATAGTTTCGTCCGATTTCATGTAAATGGTGCTCCAAAGTCGCTATATATCTTTCGATTTGCACGAAATTTGGCATAACGTACTGAATTGAGCCTAGAATAATGTCTGCCAAGTTTCGTAAAAATCGGTCCAGATTTAGATATAGCTCCCATATATAGTTTCGTCCGATTTCATGTAAATGGTGCCCCAAAGTCCCTAGATATCCTTCGATTTGCACGAAATTTGGTACAGCGTAATCATTTAGGTCTAGAATGATGTCTGCCAAGTTTCGTGAAAATCGGTCCAGATTTAGATATAGCTCCCATATATAGTTTCGTCCAATTTCATGTAAATGGTTCCCCAAGGTCCCTAGATATCCTTCGATTTGCAGGAAATTTGGCGTAACGTACCTAATTGAGCCTAGAATGATGTCTGACAAGTTTCATGAAAATCGGTCCTGATTTAGGTATAGCTCCCATATATAGTTTCGTCCGATTTCATGTAAATGGTGCCCCAAAGTCCCTATATATCTTTCGATTTGCACGAAATTTGGCGTAACGTACTGAATTGAGCCTAGAATGATACCTGCCAAGTTTTGTGGAAATCGGTCCAGATTTAGATATAGCTCCTATATATAGTTTCGACCGATTTCATGTAAATGGTGCACCAAAGTCGCATAACGTACTAAATTAGTGGGTTAACGTACTGAATTAAGCCTAGAGTGATGTCTGCCAAGATTCAAGAAAATCGGTCTAGATTTAGATATAGCTCCCATATATAGTTTCGTCCGATTTCATGTAAATGGTGCCCCAAAGTCCCTATATATCCTTCGATTTGCAGGAAATTTGGCATAACGTACTTAATTGAGCCTAGAAGTACGTTATTGCCAAGTTTTATAAAAACCGGTCCTGATTTAGATATAGCTCCCATATAATGTTTCGTGCGTTTTCTAGAAGTACAGACATAGCCCAACGGATGACCTATTTATATTTGTTTGAAATCGATTTACATACTTTATGGATAGATCTAGGTAGACTCACATTTAGATAAATATCACATATATTATTTCATCCAATTTCATATTAATAGTCCTGTTTATTATACCCATAGTGGTGAAGGGTATCATATAGTCGGCCCCGTCCGACTTTACTACTTTCCTTACTGGTTTACATTAAATACATGAACACACGGACATGTATAAATCGACTCTTTCGTTTCCTCGATATTTATGACCTCATAAAGTTCCTATGCTTTGGGATGCCCTTTGTCTCGAAATGACATCCTCCTCAATATCAGAATTGTCAATAACTGCAATCAAAAGTCCTGGGATGTTCTCTTTTTGTTTTTCAAAATTCCAATTTTAACTGATTTCTCCTCATTGTCCGAACCTCTGAGACTCTCTTATTGTTACCAGTTAAAGTGCGTAGTTATCTCCGAGCGGTTTTTTCAAACCCTTCTCAAAGACTGTCTCCCAACAGATAAGTTTGGCCCTTTTAAAGAGTTTCTGCACTTATGGCAAAATTTCTTAAATTTTTTTAGCCAATCTACCTTAAGATATAGCGCCGGTAACTCGCATTGGGGATTATGATAACGATTTTCAATTGATATATTTTCCGTAACATAATATTTTGGAATTTCATTGGATAGAAAATCTTCTTCCTTTAGGTATAGTGGCTCCTAATTTTCTGTATTTGAAGGATATTGTGTGAGGGTGAGGTTATATACTTCATTTCAAATATATGTCTGCAATCCCATAATGGAGGGCATAAGAAGTTCGACACGATCCGAAATAACGACTCTTCACTAAAAACCTTTCTAAATTTCCAAGACCCAATCACCAAGTTTTAACTTCAAATACAATGTCAAGAACTCTAGGAAAAAAGTTTGGGGAATTGGCATGCGGCTGTATTTAATCAAACCACAAGTTCTACACTCACTGCCACTTACTTCAGACTGTTTGAAATTTTAATACCTGTTTACTTTAAACTTGTCCTGATAAGAATTATTTGTGATAAACATAACGTACCGCCAATAACATTATAGATACTACAAGTATAGCGAAAAAAACATTTAGTTTATGCGCACAAGAATTCCCAACTACTTGTCGTTCAACATTCTTGGCTATCTGCCCGATAGTTCTTGTTGACAATAAAAAACAGTTTGTTTACGGATATTGTTGCAATTATAAAAACATTTTGCGTAGGCTTTATCAATGTCAGTGCGTAATAAAATGCAATATTTGTTTTATATATCTTACTCTCTCTCTCTCTCTCTCTCTATAACATTTTTTATTTGCACTTATATCTCTTTACTTTTTTCTCCTTTCCAGGTTGAACTTGGCGCTAATTGGATACACGGCGTTTTGGGTAACCCGATATTCGAAATAGCGGTACAGCATGGTCTAGTCAGTGTTGTTAATATACCAAAACCCCATAAAGTGGTGGCCACCACCGAAGATGGCCAGCAGGTTCCTTTTAATATACTACAGGAAATCTACGAGGCGTATGTATGTTTTTTACGCCGCTGTGATGAGTATTTCCTTTGTCAGTATAGTCCACCGCCGGACATTAATAGTGTTGGAGAACACATCAATTTCGAAATACAAATCTATTTGAGTTCTGTCGAGGATCCCAAAGAGAAACGCTTGAAGCAATTGATTTTCAATTGTTTGTTGAAGCGTGAAACATGTATTACCGGCTGCACAGATATGAATGAAGTAGATCTCTTAGAATTAGGTGAGTCGGATGGGAACAATAAATATAATGTGATATTAACATAATAGTTGTTTTATTTGTATTTACAGGTAGTTATACAGAATTACAAGGTGGCAATATTGTATTGCCGGCCGGTTATAGTTCGATTTTAAGACCCCTTACAGCACAAATACCCAAAGAGGCTATCATTACCAAATGTCCCGTCAAGAAAATCCATTGGAAACGAAAAAAGACTTTAACAGGCCTCGACACTGTGGATGAGAATGATGAAAACGATTCGGATGATTCCGAAAAAACCGTTACAGAATTTCCCACAGCTGGTGGAGGAGGGGTGTCAGCCGGCCCCGGTAGTAGAGAAAGTACACCCTCATCTAGCAAAAATAACTCACGTTGTGGTTCTGTTGAATCAGACACCGCCGCTGTAAACAGTGACTATCCTGTACGTGTAACGTGTGAGGATGGTCGTGTTTTTAATGCTGAACATGTGATATGTACCATACCGTTGGGCGTTCTTAAATCATGCCATAAAAATCTATTCGATCCGGAGTTGCCCCACTACAAACAGGAATCCATTGAACATTTAATGTTTGGGACAGTGGATAAAATCTATTTGGAATATGATCGACCGTTTTTAAGTGCTGATATATCGGAAATTATGTTACTTTGGGATGATGATAAATACGAAGAACATGCGTCCGATGAAGAACGTGCTACACCTGAATATTTAAGTAAACATTGGTATAAGAAAATCTATTCATTTGCAAAAATTTCCGATACTCTACTGTTGGCATGGGTATCGGGTTTAGAGGCTGAATTTATGGAAACCCTGCCATCGGATGTTGTGGCGGAAAAATGTACAGAAATCTTAAGAAATTTCCTGCAAGATCCGTATGTGCCGAAACCGAAAAGATGTGTGTGGTAAGTGAAAAAACCATTAGTAAAAACGTCCTTAAGTTCGGACAGCATGGATTAAATCCTGTACTAATTTATTTTTATATTACAGCACAAGTTGGAAATCTCAAACATATACTATGGGATCATATACCTCAATACCAGTGGGTGCTTTACAAGAAGATATAGAGAATTTGGCTCAACCACTCTATGCAACTCCTCATGCCTTCAAGGTAAGTTTGTAATTACAAAAATATAATAATGAATTGGAAAAATAAAATACAAAATTGGGACAAACACATAATTTTAAAATACAGTAGCGAGCCATAAAAATGCAACGCTTTGGTCAAATTCCGCATTAGTTTTTCAATTTATTTTACTCTTCGAAGCCTACAAACGGCATGATTGTGTTGTTCAATCATCATAAAACTTTTCAACACACACACACATAACTTTCTGACGAAAATCCCCAGAGATCTAATTACGACATTTAACATTAAGCTTCTCAAAAGACAAATAGCCAGACAGTCTGGCATGCTAGCATCTAATAATTAGGTAAGAGGGTGAAGGAACTATGTATAAATTTAGAAACAAATGTTCATTTGAGTATTTGATGCCATATGTTTATTTTGAAAACATGTTCGAATTTATTTATAGCACATCACATTATTAATCGATTTCAATGTCATGGATTTAATTTTTTTTTTAAATTTTAAAGCAAAATAGACATTTAGCGGAAGTCAGGGAGATGAACTTTTCAATTAGCAGCTAATTTTGTCATAAATGTTTTAAAAGTGATAATATGTGGTAATAGCAAGGTGCAAAAAGAAAAAAAATTCTAAATAGAAAAATTAATTTAATTCTTCGGGACAGAACGCTATAAATTTGAAAGATGCTCTCAAAGCACACGATTGTAGCTTTAAGAGAATCGATAGCTGGTATAATGAAAATCCAAAATTCCATTGAGATTATTACAAACGGTAAAACGCATGCAAAGTGTGAAACAAGAGTCGGCTATAACAGTAGAATCAAAGTGTCTATTAATAACGATCGTTCGTCGAAGGACAAAATTGCAAAATAGAAGGACACGCATTTTAAAGTAAAAAAGTGCCTTTTCTCAAGAACAGTATAATGAATCTAGTCATTTATTTAATTCATTCATTGGGTTTCTGCGGCCACGGACAATCAGCGGGTTTTGGGGGAGAGTGTCGAAGAAAATGACTGAGTCTATGATCCCTAGATAGGTGCCCCTAAATAATAATTTCCAACACAACTATATGTTGTATATACGGTCCACATGACAGTTTTAGGTTAGGTTAAGGGATGTACGGCTGTCGTTCACAGCCGTTCACTCAGATGCGTTTGTTCATTGTTCTCATCCTTATTACCTGAAAAGAAAGGCTTAGAGGAAAGTGGAAAAGAGGGAAGGTAGAAAGTGGAAAGAGGTACTGCTTATTTTAGTTATGTCAAAATCTTAACAAAGCTTAGGATCTAATTGGGGTTTATTCCGGAGAACAATGCTAGATTATCAATTGCATATTTGCCGAACTGTCTGTGCCTTCTGCCACTAAGCGATGGGTGGACCTACAGAGTATATGTTCAATTGTTTCCAGCTCTTCGTAATCTTCACATAATCAACTCCGTTAATGTCCCATTTGGAAATGAGAAATCTAATCATGCAGTGACCTGTTATGACGACCACAACGATTTTTATCTCCCTCTTACTATGAGAGAACATCGAAGAAGTTCTACGGCGAGAGAATTCCGGGCAGATGGTTTTTGCAATCCTGCATCCAGGTTCTGTTGACATTCTGTTGCCAACTACCTCGCTCATACGGATTTTGGCAATAAAGTAGCCAATAGGAGGTTGTACAGATCCCTCAATTGGTAGATTGACTGCTTCTCTAAAAAGTCACAAATTGGCGCCGTGTTAAGGATACTAGCGTGGCCAAAATTCCAATTCAAGACTGCATTTAAGGCTGCCTGTGGTGTGTTTCTTAGCGCTCCGGTAGTCAGGATCAACGCCGATCGCTGTACCCATTTTAGCCAGCAGTGTCTTCTTGTTGACTCCTTGCCGCCATACAAGGCAACCATATTTAAGTATGGGGAGTACAATCGTTACAGTCAGTGTATGATATCTCGTTTTAGTCCCCAACTCTTACCTATAGAGTTCTTGCAGGAGTACAGTCCTATTAGACCTTTATTAGCGCGTTCCTCAACATTCCTTTTCACCTTAGTTTGTGGTCAAGGACTCTATCAAGGTATTTTGCTTCCAAAGAACCCTGCATGATGTCAGAAATAGTCGGCAGAAACTTCCCTCCGGCTAGCAAGACTACATCATCGGCATAGGCTACAACCTTTATACTAAGGTGGTCGAATTTCTGCTGCATCTCATTTATCACCAGTAGCCATAGTAGAGCAGATAGTACTCCTCCCTGTGATGTGCCTCTGTTGACAGATTTCCTTAATGAACTCTCTCCAAGGGAATAATTAATATTTCTAGGATGGTTGGCACTGAAAATGGGATCGATAATCCACGTTAAGCAATATCCCCACTTAAAGGTACCCCCAAATGTTCATAATTTTGGAGATTTTTGGCAGGTTTTTTATAACTTTGAGTTAATTTAAAACTTTGAGTTTCCATTTAGTAACAGATCTCCCTACCAAAAATTATAAATATTGGTTCACTTTTTAGGATGGAGTGTTCGGGCAAGTTTTTCACCAAATTGGCATTAATTTATTATTTTGAATTATCATTGATTAGCAAATCCCTCTACCAAAAATAACGGTAACCCCATTATTCGGTATTTTGAAGAGTTTGGACATGTTTTTAATTGAATTGACTGCAATTTGGTACTTTGAGTTGCCATTCGGTAGCAAATTATAAATATCGGACCATATTTTTGGTAATTCGAAATTTTGTGGGCACTTCTTTTAGCCGAATTGGCTCTAATTTGGTTACCATTGATGGTCAATTTTCATAAAATTGGCATGGCTTGGCGCCCCATTTATAACGGTCTCGAACGCGAATACAGGTATCTTAAATGACAACCTAATAGTGAATGGTAGAAAAAGTTTGTTCTGGCCGAATTTAATGCCGTTTTTGCTTGTTTATTCTAAAAATTTTTAATGTTATATTTTAATTCATAATTTCTTCATTTTCATTTCAGCCTGTTGTTCTATTTGCCGGCGAACACACCCATTCCAATTTCTATTCAACTGTACATGGTGCCTATTTGAGTGGTCGTACTGCTGCCCAATATTTGGTGGGCAATGATGAACCCGATGAGATTACCCTAGAATCGGATGGAAGTGATTTAAGCGCATGGATACAAGGCATAGCTTTAGATTAAGTGTTGTTGCTTGTTTTTCAACTTTGTTTTTGTACAAAAAAGACACAACACACGTACTCATTCACAAAATTCTATTAAGATACAGCGAATGTGGCGATAAACCAAAAAAACAACAACTCTTTAACAACGTCAAAATGTAGCACAAAATACAAAAAAGAAAACACAATTGGATGTGCTGTGTGAAATCACTGGCAGCAGCCTATTTTTCAGCTACCACGCCCAAGCCCATGAGACCATGCTCCTCCTCTGCCTTCTACCCCCTTTTAAATGAAATATTAGATTTTTATTTTTTTATTAAGAAAAAAACTTAAGTAGTGGCTATTTTTATATTTTATAAAACAAAATATTTGTTAGTATATTCCCAAAAAAACTGCAACAACAAAAAAGGGGAGCAAAAGTTAATTTTATTAATGTTAAACGAATTTTGTTTTTTGTTTAAAAAAAAATTAAAGTTAAAAATAAAAAAATGTTTCATTATCATGACATGTATAATAGTTATGTGTATTTAACAAAAAAATAAGCAACTATACAAATTGTACGTATGTATGTATTTTTTGAGAAAACCCTTAAAAATTATTGTTAAAATATTTCACATTAAAAAAACTTAAATCTCCATTTTTAAAAATTATGCGAAAGAAAAAGTCACTATTTTTTAGAAGAAACGAAACAAAACACAACTAAATTTGTTTTATATAAACTAAACGAAAATCTAGTTAGTTATGCTAAGCGAATGAAATTATATTAGTTTTTCTTTTTTAAGCAATCATCGAAATTTTTTGTATTTTCAAAGTTTTCTATTTGTCATGTGAAATTAAAAAACACACACATTTGTTTTGTAATATTTATTAGTGCTTTTATAAAGTGCATTTTTTCTTCTTGTGGAACGACATACATATGTTTATTCAATTTCAAATCTTGTCAATTTACCAATTTGTATTCTCTTATCACTTTTGTATTTTTCTGCAATATTATTATTTTTTTTATTTTATTTATAACATTGTGTTATTAAACTTAGGCCTAATTATTTCACTTAAAAATGCAATGCAACTAATATCCACAAAACTCAATTTACAGTATAATATTTTTAATTTTGCCAAAAATATTGTCTCCTTCTATTTAAATATAGACACTCATACCATTAATTATACCCTTCACCACACTGTGGTACAGGGTATTATGTCTTTGTGCATATGTTTGTAACAGGCAAAAGGAAACGAGATAGACACATGGTTCCTTTTGAGAACATGCATAGAATCACTTTCTAAGTCGATTTATGCATGTCCGTCCGTCCGTCCGTCCGTCTGTCCGTCTGTCCGTCTGTCCGTCTGTCTGTCCATGTTAAATTGTAAACAAAGTACAGGTCGCATTTATGATCCGAATTGGATGAAATTTGGCATAGGTCACTTATTCGGCCCAAGGACGAACCCTATTGAAATTGGGAAAAATCGGTTCAGATTTAGATATAGCTCCCATATATATATTTAACCGATTTAATGTAAACGGTCCCTATATATCTTCCGATTTGCACGAAATTTGGTACAGCCTAATCATTTAGGTCTAGAATGATGTCTGCCAAGTTTCGTGAAAATCGGTCCAGATTTAGATATAGCTCCCATATATAGTTTCGTCCGATTTCATGTAAATGGTGCCCCAAAGTCCCTAGATATCCTTCGATTTGCACGAAATTTGGCATAACGTACTGAATTGAGCCTAGAATAATGTCTGCCAAGTTTCGTAAAAATCGGTCCAGATTTAGATATAGCTCCCATATATAGTTTCGTCCGATTTCATGTAAATGGTGCCCCAAAGTCCCTAGATATCCTTCGATTTGCACGAAATTTGGTACAGCGTAATCATTTAGGTCTAGAATGATGTCTGCCAAGTTTCGTGAAAATCGGTCCAGATTTAGATATAGCTCCCATATATAGTTTCGTCCAATTTCATGTAAATGGTTCCCCAAGGTCCCTAGATATCCTTCGATTTGCATGAAATTTGGCATAACGTACTTAATTGAGCCTAGAATGATGTCTGCCAAGTTTCATGAAGATCGGTCCTGATTTAGATATAGCTCCCATATATAGATTCGTCCGATTTCATGTAAATGGTGCCCCAAAGTCCCTATATATCTTTCGATTTGCACGAAATTCGGCGTAACGTACTGAATTGAGCCTAGAATGATACCCGCCAAGTTTCATGAAAATCGGTCCTGAGTTAGATATAGCTCCCATATATAGTTTCGTCTGATTTCATGTAAATGGTGCCCCAAAGTCCCTACGTATCCTTCGATTTGCACGAAATAGGGTGCAGCCTAATCATTTAGGTCTAGAATGATGTCTGCCAAGTTTCGTGAAAAACGGTCCAGATTTAGATATAGCTCCCATATATAGTTTCGTCCGATTTCATGTAAATGGTGCCCCAAAGTCGCTATATATCTTTCGATTTGCACGAAATTTGGCATAACGTACTGAATTGGGCCTAGAATAATGTCTGCCAAGTTTCGTAAAAATCGGTCCAGATTTAGATATAGCTCCCATATATAGTTTCGTCCGATTTCATGTAAATGGTGCCCCAAAGTCCCTAGATATCCTTCGATTTGCACGAAATTTGGTACAGCGTATTCATTTAGGTCTAGAATGATGTCTGCCAAGTTTCGTGAAAATCGGTCCAGATTTAGATATAGCTCCCATATATAGTTTCGTCCAATTTCATGTAAATGGTTCCCCAAGGTCCCTAGATATCCTTCGATTTGCAGGAAATTTGGCGTAACGTACCTAATTGAGCCTAGAATGATGTCTGACAAGTTTCATGAAAATCGGTCCTGATTTAGGTATAGCTCCCATGTATAGTTTCGTCCGATTTCATGTAAATGGTGCTCCAAAGTCGCTATATATCTTTCGATTTGCACGAAATTTGGCATAACGTACTGAATTGAGCCTAGAATAATGTCTGCCAAGTTTCGTAAAAATCGGTCCAGATTTAGATATAGCTCCCATATATAGTTTCGTCCGATTTCATGTAAATGGTGCCCCAAAGTCCCTAGATATCCTTCGATTTGCACGAAATTTGGTACAGCGTAATCATTTAGGTCTAGAATGATGTCTGCCAAGTTTCGTGAAAATCGGTCCAGATTTAGATATAGCTCCCATATATAGTTTCGTCCAATTTCATGTAAATGGTTCCCCAAGGTCCCTAGATATCCTTCGATTTGCAGGAAATTTGGCGTAACGTACCTAATTGAGCCTAGAATGATGTCTGACAAGTTTCATGAAAATCGGTCCTGATTTAGGTATAGCTCCCATATATAGTTTCGTCCGATTTCATGTAAATGGTGCCCCAAAGTCCCTATATATCTTTCGATTTGCACGAAATTTGGCGTAACGTACTGAATTGAGCCTAGAATGATACCTGCCAAGTTTTGTGGAAATCGGTCCAGATTTAGATATAGCTCCTATATATAGTTTCGACCGATTTCATGTAAATGGTGCACCAAAGTCGCATAACGTACTAAATTAGTGGGTTAACGTACTGAATTAAGCCTAGAGTGATGTCTGCCAAGATTCAAGAAAATCGGTCTAGATTTAGATATAGCTCCCATATATAGTTTCGTCCGATTTCATGTAAATGGTGCCCCAAAGTCCCTATATATCCTTCGATTTGCAGGAAATTTGGCATAACGTACTTAATTGAGCCTAGAAGTACGTTATTGCCAAGTTTTATAAAAACCGGTCCTGATTTAGATATAGCTCCCATATAATGTTTCGTGCGTTTTCTAGAAGTACAGACATAGCCCAACGGATGACCTATTTATATTTGTTTGAAATCGATTTACATACTTTATGGATAGATCTAGGTAGACTCACATTTAGATAAATATCACATATATTATTTCATCCAATTTCATATTAATAGTCCTGTTTATTATACCCATAGTGGTGAAGGGTATCATATAGTCGGCCCCGTCCGACTTTACTACTTTTTTTTTTTTGTCTTTAAGGGTTAAAACAACTCTCTCTTTCTCTTATAGTCACTATTATTTTAAAGTCTGTATCTAATTTGTTTATGCAAGTTTTTTTTGTAATATTCTCAAACAACAACAACAAAGTTCTAATCATACATCTGATGTAAAATCTGTTAAGAAAATTTATAAAATATATAAAACAAATAATAAAAATAAAAGAAATTAAAATGCATAAAATTTATATAAGACAATTATTTTATTTTAATTTGTGAACAAATTTTTATAACCTCCACCATAGTATGGATGGTATATTAAGTCATCGAAATAATCTCATTTCTAACCCTATGAAGTATATATATTCTTTATCAACGCAAAATTCTATGTCCATGTAGGCATTTTTAGCAGGCTGATCAAGTTCGAAGATGGCCTATATTCGTCCACGTTTAGGCATTGCCCCCATATAGCTAAACTGAATTAGCTGTAATTTTGTATTTTGGGTTCGTATTGGATAGGAATTATTCCTGCCAAAAAATATACTTATTTTAGGGAGATTGGTTCCATGAATATGTAACACTGTGAAGTGTTTAGTGTATATCAATTAACTGAGTCGATGTAGTCATGTGTGTCCGACAGTCCATTACTATTTGTAAACAAAGTACAAGCTATAGTTATGGACCCATGGTAACGAAATTTTGCATGGTAGTCCGGTTCTAGCCAAAGGACAGCGATATGTTAGTGCTTAGGTCGCTCTAGATGCCATAATTATGACCCGAACTTCTTGAAGTTTACGTGGGGAAGGGGTTTTCGTCAAATAGTAAGTATGAATGATTTGATCAGGAAAAATTGCCAGTGTGAAAAGAGGAACTGGGTGGGAGTAACACTGTTTAATCCAACCTTTTGCAGTAATTGCTAGCCAAGGATTGTAACCAAATAATTGACTTTCGAAAGAAAAGTTAAAATATTACGCCATTGAAAAATTATAGAGGGAAAATAAGCTAATTGATCAGTTTTTACAAGGTCTGATAAATTTCACAACAATTTTCTT